GTTGTGAGGGTTACGTAAGCGTGACGTATGTTGCGTGTACAACCAGTTTATCGCGGCGTCACCACGGACGGAGGACGGAGGGAAGAGTGTAGTGTTATGTTACCTCTGGTCTCTGGCATAATTAGAATACATCCGCCTCGCGGTCTAGGGTCCGTTGCAAGTGCGGGAACCGTCGCGTCGGCCAGTCCAACAGTTGTCTTAACAAAATAAATTCTCCTCAGATGGTAAATTCATGGGCATCCGGTGACAGCTGCGTATATTTACCACACGTTACACGTTTCGCTCATGCTACGTCGTGGCTTCCTCATTGGTAAATCTAGGTCTGACAAGGATAGAATTATGGTCTTAACTTTGAATGAATGAAACGTGCTTTTGAAATATCCAAGTATTCGATACAAAATACAACAACGATTTAAATGAATCCCCAAATGGCATAGAGCTTGTGGTTGGGGACCGTGTCCGTCATCCGCACAGTAAAACAATAAGATTTACATTAAAACACTAAAATATATTATATCTTGTGGAGAAATATGTTATTTTATTTTATAAACAAGAAGACAAAATATACAATAACACCCCCGCCGCAGCAAACCTGACGCCTAAGCGAATTTCCATTTGGCTGAATTGATTTTCAATTGATCTATTTAAATAACATTAGGTTTAACGAGTACCTAGGTTTGCTGCTACAAGGAAACTAATAAAGTGTGTGTTTTAAGTAAAATAATTATTGCTTAGTATAAAATGAATATATTTGCCAAGTTTGATCAAAAGATATCCATAAACAAGCATACTACAACATTTTACAATATTCTCCATAAGAATAACATGAGAATTTTAAATTTACCATTTTTTTAGTTTTCTCCGTAATCAATAACCGTACAAAAACACTTTGATATACTGAATTGTTTGTTTTTTTAAGCTCTTTAAGAAGGTTTAGAGAAAAATTGGGAAATTTTGTGTTTTGAGGGTCAAAAGTGAGAAAAACAAATTTTTACCCCATAAAACCCTGTTCCCATGGTCCGATCATGCTGGATCGCGAACTCATTCAAGTTTATCCCGCCTTACACCTTCAAACTAAATTTCATCAAAATCGGATAAAAATTACTCAAGTTATCGTGTTCACGGACACACACATATATATATATATACATATATAAAAATTTGAACGAGTGGTGTTTTTGGCCTCTGGGGACATCAAAATGAAAAAGTAAATCGGTCCCGGGCCTAAGTCTTACCATGAGACCTACGGTAATAGCTACTTCCCTATAGGGAAATTCACTAAAAACACACTGATATTTCTATGACACGAGCAATGTATGGACGTATTGTAGCGACTTACTGCTTGCATCAGAAAATACGACTCAAAGCGATTTCCGATTTTGAATCTATTGTATTTCCTTTTAATCCCGAATTAAAATTAAAGTCTTTAATAGCAGTTTATCTTGTAATAGATAACCTTTAGTATAATTTATACTGCCTTATATATGAAAATCTTGTTGGAGCAAAATAGTATACGTTTGAAGTGAAATCGTTTTCTTCGTTTGGTTGTAAAAATACAAGCCGAGCCCGAGCACCGTTATTGGTAAAATATCTTTTTTAAGTTGATCAAAACATTTCCGATTCTCATTCGTTGTATGTTCAAATGAATGGTGGATAAGTGTGTGTCATGATGTAGGTACCTTGAAGCAACATATAGTAATGTTGATTATATACATAAGAAGACGTATTATGGAGGTTTTCTGTTCAGAAACAAAACACTATACATTCGCAGCCTAGGTTCAGTAGACAATTGCGTAAAGATGCAATAGTTACCGATGTGGACCATTACGCAATGCAGCCGTGACTATTTCAAGGGCACGGCTGCACAGACCATTTACACACAAACATATACTCGTCCGATTATCTTATCGTGTTTCTCAAGCTACGATTTAAATAGTCATGTGATGCTTTATATCTACAGACAGTTTTCTCATAAGGCAATATGAAGTGGTTACTTTGCGTTGATTTAAATCCAATTTTCTTGGCCTAGACCTATCTTTTTTGCTTATTAAGATCAAGGACGTTTAAAATGATACTACTAATAGACTTTCCGTATTGTATTCCTTACGATTTAATTGATTATGAATATAAAAACTCTCCATTAAGGGTTCGGGTACAGTTTCTTAACCCCTAATATCGATTTAAACTATCGATTAAAACTATCGATTTAAAATATCGATTAATAATCGATATTTTTAACTATCTCTATAAAATGAATGGAACTGTCATAACCTAACCTAACTAACTAACTAAACTTGCTGATAATGAAAAATCGAATGAAGGTTTACTAATAATCGAATCGATAGTTTCAATCCATATTAGGGTAGCCCAGTTAAGAAACTGTAGGTACCCACTGGTTTAAGTAACCAAAATTACTAACTTCACGTTTTTTAATCTTTTACGATGAATTGTATAGTAGGGTACGCTTTGAAAAGTGGAACTTTTTTGTGATTTTAACCTTATTTAAGACAACACAGAGACCAATTTTAATTTTTGAGTTAATTCAAATGCTATACCTGTTTGAACTATAGTTTTAAAACGTTGTATTTTGTTATAGCAGATCTGTATAGCAGCATGACAGGGGCCTCCTTATTTGACTCTATGAATTTATTAGTTTATTCAACGTTGATTCTTCCAATTAAATTTCTACAAACCCAGCCAAGCATTATGGCAGATCTTAACTCGTCGTTAATATAATACAATAGGTCTATGATACCTAGTCTATTGACTAATTCCATTTACTGTGAAGTTTGCATTACTTACGCATCCTTTCAAGCAAGGAAAGGGAAGGGAAGGGGTTTAAGGTAAATAATTCTTGGCTGAGAAAATAATTTATGAAAGCATCAGTGTTTATAAATGACAACCGTGGGAATAGTTTTCAGATCGATAAACTACGTATATATATGATTGAGCATACCATTACGGGATTGATTTTTGTCAGTAAATATTGTCTACAAATTTGAAACAGATATTAAGTAGGTATAGGTAAGTAAATAAATTGAAATTTGTTTCCAGCCATAATTTAAAAAAGCGTGTGGTTTACACAGTTAGGGAAGTAATGTTAACAAAAGGAATGACGGGGGCTAGACTAATGTTCGGAATTCAAATGTTGATGTTGAGGAAACGTATGTAATATTTGTATATTACATTTTTGAACCCACTACCATTTCATGTCAGATGATGCACGTCAGAACGTATTCGTTATTTACTCGTCTCTGCTGCAGCTGCAATCCTTTCACTGGCTGAAGAGGACATATTCCTGGAAAGTCAAAAAAGGTCAGGGAAAGACAGGGAAACAGGCAGTGTTAGGGAAGGTCAGGGAACAATTTTAAAAATATTGTTAAGTCAGGAAATTTACAAAAAAACTGTAAAAGATCACGTAAATTTTTTGGATGATGAGTTGTGTTAAAATTAGATAGTTGCTGAAAAGATTACTTAAGTTCTGAAATAATAAATACCCCTGCCGCAGCAAACCTGCAGACCGAATTTACGTTTAGCCTACGTGGTTAGATTTCTACTAAAATATTCCCTTCAAATTGTCAGTGGATTTATTTCCTATTCAAATTAAATTTATTTTAATAAGTGAGTTACTTAGGTTTGCTGCTACAGGAAATGTAATAAGGGAGTGTTTTTATTGAAATCTTGATAGCTTAGTATGAAATAAACAAATTCGCCAAAACCAAAAAATAAATCGTCCTGGGTTTATGTCTTACCATGAGACCGGCAGTAATAGCTTATTCTCTAGCCTATATGGAAAATTCGCTAAAAAAGGAGGTGTAAGGATGGCTACGGGGTTGGTGGAGGCCGTATAAATATAAAAAAGATGTTTTAAGCGATTTATACTTATATCTAAACTTCCTGTTTAGAAAACTCCTAAGTGTCCTAGTTTAGAAAACTTGCAGTACCTAAAATATACAGTGGTCAGGGAAATCAATAAAAAAAGGTCAAGGATGCACAGGGAAAGTCAGAGAATTCACTTAAGGTATTTTTTCAAGACAGACGAACATCACTATGGTGACGACGGTTAACCCGGTACTCTGTGCAGCAGTCTATAGACATTTTTGCCACTGTCATATCAATACTAATTATTTTGGGTTTTTCAATGGTTCTGCACTTTTTAAATAGTTTCGTTTATTTAAAAAATCTTAAACAATTTACTGAATTCGATTGTGTTAGTGCAGTCTCAACATTTTGACCAAAAATCACCTCAAATTCGTTTTCATTACTACTGTAACACTGTTGGAATATTGACAAAGCTCTAAAGCACCTTTTTTTATTTGGACTTGTTTCAAATAATTCACCCGTATTGATTAACGGTACCTAATTTTGTTCTTAATGAAAATGATTCTCCATAGATGGTCAAATATCTCATATGGTTTATGGATGATCATATGGTTACAAACGCGCTTCATTTCTTTGACCTGCTCAAGATGTTTGACCATTTCACACAAGGAGTCGTTTTGGTGTACGTATTTTCCGAAGAGGGTAAAATCTCTTTCGTTATACTACTACTACTACGGCAGATTCCTACGGATACAGCAGTACAAGGCTTACAGTTAAATACATTTTCTTCATGAACCAAAATTCTTCCTACATAGCTTTTAGCTCATTGCCACATTTTATTCTTCAGATATAAGGGTACTTAATTGTTTTCATTTTGTGAGTTTGCCAACTATCACTACCCTTACCAAGAGATCAGCATTAGGGCGTACCCCCTTAATACATTGTGATTAAAATATAAATATTTTTCTTACATTATACCACATCGGTTGACCAAATTGGTTTGGTATGGGGCGAAAATATCAAATTATTTTTTATATATTTTAGTGAAAGAATTATGCTTGGTAATCCTTTAGAAGCTGTCAATGTTGTAAAATATCGTTCTACAGAAATGTTGAGCATAACATTATTATGTAGTTGTGCCACACACACATATTCTAACTATGTTCACTCTTTTACAGGAAGCACTGTGGATATCTTGCCGTCAAAACGTCAGCACATTTCTAACATGTGAGTATGTTGTCCAATCCATCTTACGTCGTCTAAAGTGCAAACTTATGTTATCGTCATGTCGATTGAACATGATAATTTGTAACTTTATAAATAACTAATCCTCGAGCAAAGATAGGAAACGATATTTTTTTATAGTATTAATTCCTGGATTAAATATTTTTTGGGATTCGCCGAATATATTTAAGTTTCACTTAATCGGTTTACGGATTTCAAATTTTGAACACTTCAGAAAATAGTGTAAAGAATTAATATAGGCTAATAAGTTATTGTAAATTTGTTCGTTATAATGACCACTACAATTTATGTTTTTCTGCCAAAACCGTAAATATAGAAGACTCTACCTTTATCCAAAATTTAATTACCCAAAAACCCTTTATTACCTGGACCCAAGGCCAAAGGTTTTGAGCTCCAGTTTAACCTAAACACCACACCACACTATCACTCTCTACACACAAAACTGACCCCCTGCACAAGTGCACTGGCTTACTTAAAGCCTTCTGTAGGTCAGCACAACAAGATATTGTTTAACAACACTACCAGCCTACTCACACAACATTTCCAAACACTTCCTGTTAACAATATTTGACCCCCTCCTATTAAAAAATGTACAATATTTTACTGTTGTTGTTACCTATAGATGATTGCGATTTAAATTAGTTATTTACGGTTTAGTAAAATTACAACCAGTTAAGTTTACTCATGAATATACGTTATTAATTTATTATTACAAATTTTTGTAAAAAAAATAGATCACATTTATATGAATTTTTGAGTAAAGTATCTTTGTAGCATTTATGATTAAAAAAACCGAGTAAAAGGTTTCTCTTGTGTGCAGTAAGTACCTTTTTACTAAAAGGTACTAAAAGGTAAGGTTGTGTGCAGTTAGATTTTACCTATAACTCTTCTATAGATTAGATTCTGCCGGAAAATTGTTTTGCTCATAGGCAAAAATAGCTTTGGTCGTCTAGAAACATTTTACGGATAATTTTAATCCTATTTTTGAATGACATGTTTTCAGGCTAGCATGTTTCCATGGTGTTGGAGGCTAGGTTTATTATATTTATCAATCTTGTGGACTTCACTCACCTCATAATTTTTTAATCCAGGACTCTCCAAAATGTACACATCATGAAGACACAGTTACACACACATAAAAATCGTCCTTGGATTTACTCCAAATCAAGGAAGTAACTGTGTTTTCGTGGTGTGTAGATTTTGGCGAGTCCTGGATTAACAAATTATGAGGTGAGTGAAGCCCACAAGATTGATGAGGATAATTTTATACACGGTACGTAAAACTTGCATGCATCGACTGCCAATGTCTCTACGTAACTGAAAAAAATATTGTGAAAAACTAATCGTTGTACTAACAACGAATTCCTAAATTTGGCATTTAAAGCTATTTATTTCTCATTTTGAGACCCTAAGTATTGCAAACTACGTAGATTACGGAATTATTATCAATATCATAAACGATTTGCACAGTACGAACACTAGAGACGTTAATTGCGATGCTGCATTTAAACTGTACAGTTGAAGTTGATACAATTGACAATTTTTATGAGTAGTGAAACTCTTTGGCGTATTTAGAGAGTGAGATTGTTTTTTGGAGCAGACGTAAACCTTAATCGGAACGATTCCATTTTATGAGGCGTTAACGAAACTTTACTGAAAACATCAATTCACTAGTTTAAACCTGTCGGGCGTTATGTTGGGCAGAACAGCTGCCCGGCAGGTGGTCGGCCAGTGGCGGTCAAACATAACCCTTGTCGCAGCAAGCCTGCGTAATCGTCGGCATAAATCAATCTCTCTTAACTTATACGGGCCAACTTATACAATCTGGAACGTAAAGTTTAGTTTCTCGGTAAACAAATGGAGTTGTAAAATGACGTGTCAGCTGTTTTTGGTCGCGTTCGTTGTTCTAATTTTGATGATGTAGTTGTTATGTTATTTGTCATAGTTATGCACGTTGAGGTTTTGTCATATGAGTTTAACAAATTTTGGAAGGTTTGTTGCTAAGTAGGTATTTTGATTTGTTGAACCTGTGCACTAGGTCCAATTAGACAGAGGAATGTTTAATAATTTTACGGCCAAAGTGAGAGAATACTGTAATGTTGTTTTGTTTATCATGAAATATGTTTCATGTATTGTCAATTTGTAGAGTATCTTATTTGCTTAATAAGTTATAATTGTTCATAATCCGTTAGTGGAACAACAAGTCCGAAGTTGTAAACATTTACATTACAACGACTCTTCTTCCGCAGACTTCGTTATCTCAATACTAGATTACATGATCTGTGTACATACTTTATTTACTTATGATAAAGGTACCTATTGTGAAAAATGTGAACAGATGAAAATAGGATTATAATGGTATCCTTGTGACTAAAAAATACAATCTTTAATATTGTTTGAATCTTACGTAGGTTAGTAAATAGCAAATTATGGCACTACTGGAAATATTGCTACTGTGGCTGATACCCACTCAATATCGACATTTATCAGTTAAACTTGCCTTAACCCCCCCCCCCTTGACAAAGAAAATTATCGCTAACCACAGAGCACTAAATAAGAAGTGCTTCTTATTTAGTGCTCTGTGTCGCTAACGGCTTCAAAGTTGGAAAATTCACTGAAAAATAAATAATCAAATCTGATATACCTTTTCGAGTTTGTGCTCTGTTAATGTGGTTTTGCTAGTCAAAATGTGGTCATGCGACCTTATGTATAATTCTGGCGGATCCATGCAACATTTTTCCAATACAATAAGATGTTAGTGCATTTTTAGTCACTAATAAATAGATTGTGAAAGCGTTGTAATTGTTAACACGAGTTAATTATACAGGGTGGAAAAAGTCCCGGGACGGCTGAATATAAGATCACTAAAGATACATTGCTTCAAAACTTGGTACATAGTTACTGGGCATAAAAACCATTTCATCACACTATTCAGTGATTTGCTAACTCCTCAGGGGGACGGCCCGCTAGGAGTCGGAAGAAAATCTTAATTGTAAGCATAGGTTGATATGCACATAAAATTAAAGGTCCTTACTAGAAAATACAATGCTGCAAGTTTGAACTCAAACGGACATTCGAGTCGAAAATGTCAGCCGTTCAAAGCTATCTTGAATCAGTCTTTTTGAATCTTTAAACGGCTGTCATTTTTTACTCAGTTGTTGTTCTTTAGAGCTCAAACACGTTTTTTAAACGGCTATAGCTCGAAAACGGTAAGCGCTAGCAAAGATTTGAAAAGATTTTCATGGTTAAGACTTAAATTTTCTACAAGACACTCTTCGGCGTTTTTCGAAAATCGCACTCATTCACCACAAAAAAACTACCTACAGTACTTCTAAAATTTTGTAAAACGTCTTGGAATTTCGACGCGTTTTTAAATTACTTTTAGGACATCTTTTATCTATCACAACATTGAAAGAAAAGTGCCTAAAGTGACATTTTTGTAACCCACAAAATAATATTAATGATGAATTTTCAATAAAAATGTTTTTAACGCTTGTTTGGCCTAAGCGTTGTGCTCGGGTGGTCTGATTCACCCTGTATATCAACTTCTGGATCCTGAAAAACTAAAACAGACCTTTGTTGCAAACTACAATTTATTTCACTAAACTATCTCACTACAAAAACACAACACATTTAGTGTGTCTGCAATGGTAGTGCACTATTTGAGAGGTGCATTCAACGATGTTTTCTTTACCAATTGACCTCAGCTTGTTCAATTAGATTTAGTACCCAAGTCTATGCTTATAAAACAATCGTGAGGCTCTTGAGGCCAGAAGGGTTTATCACCAAAGGTGACTGACTCACGAGGCGGTACCAGAGGTTGTGTATTCGAGATAAGAGATGGGCGATAAGCTAAGTGATAAGACACTCCTAACTGTCAAACTGAGCGTAGCATCGCCGTAAGATCAGGTGATCAGACTGGCGACTATAGTGAAAAGTATCACGTTGTTTACGACTTGTCATACGTCATGAATTAGTTATGAACACATTTCTGGTTCAAATTCCCTGATAATTTTAGTTTTGTACACAAGTTTTCATTGTCTAATCATCAACATAAAAATTAAATTGATTGCCTAAAAATGAATAGGTAGTTATGAAAACATTTCTAGTTTTAATTTCCCCGTAAATTGTTGAACCCTTTACATTTGACTAATCATCAACATTTAAATTAAAATGATTCGAGGAATTCAGAAAATCTGGTGGAAAAGCTGGTTTAAAACGGACAAATACAAATTACTCATTTTTGAGTGAAACTTGCATGTATCTCTCTACTATTTTTGTTTTTTCTTGAAAATATTAAGAATTCAATCATCAAATATTTACCAGTGTTTCATATAACCATGTACAGTATTATCATGTATTACCGTCCTCTGCTAATTTATCATTCATTTTAACCTTGCCAAATAATAGCTAATTGGTAAATGTCGAACAGTCAAAATATACTAAAATCAAAAAATTGAACAATCTTTGAAATACTTAAATAAGATTAGGGTCACCTGATTTGGTTCTATTGCATTTAACATCGGGTCATAGAAGATGTTGAAAAACATATACAGTATAAACGTTGTGTACTCTACAATGTTTTACGTTCAGTAGTACCAGTAAGACTAGTATATATCGACATAGTCTCCCTCTTTATGCATTGTAAACAGCTGTGTTGTCTCCAACAATGTAAACAATCATTGCACCGTGTTCGCTAATACGAGCTGCACCTGAGTTATAATTGAGGTCAAAAGAACTATTTCGTGTTTAGTTTCCAGTTTACACGCAAACACTTTGCTATGAGTTGTAAGTAAGCAGTAGGTAAAACGTACGTGTGTAAATTTGACGGTATACACTCTCATTTGGTTAACATGAGTTTCAATTAAGTATTAAGTGAGGTAAAAATAAGTGTTTATGTTAATTCGAATTTCCACACACTAACAGTTGAAACTTTCGTTGCTATGCGTTGGCACCTATCAATGTTAAGGCAGACGTGGAAC